TACAATACAAAGCATAATAAAAATACAATATACTATATTAATGAAAACTTAATATATTGTATTTTCGCCAGTTACGGTTGTCCACTGCCTTACGCTCTAAAACATATTAAGAATATTTATGTTACGCTGATGTTAGTCACATCATGCAAGCCTTACAATAATTATACAGGAAATTACGTGTTACAAACAGTGTAGCAAATTCCAAACTATAGTCACTCGAAACATCATCCGACGGTGATCGAAATGACGTCTAGCTTTTTAAATTTATCTATAAATAAATTGATGACACTCATCGATCCGTTAGTAATCATCACAATGCAACAATAAATCATCATTATAAATAATCACAGTTATTCCTTACACAGAACCAAGTCTGCCACTCGGAGAATGCTTGATTACTATTTACCTTGGTTTCATTACTTGCTTTGTAAAAATGGTAAGATCGGCATTTTGCAATAATTTGAGCTTTAAGTGCGCATAATCTTCGAAATTTTACAATTCTACATGTCAGAATATTTTATAGGAATTGTACAATATAGATTCAATCAGAAATTACACTTACAAATATTTTTACATGATGTGACTAAAATTATAAAGTTAAAAACTGGCAATCCTTTTTAAATACAAGTACAATCAGTAGCTTTACAAGGCATTTTATATTATAATATTCATAGTAATAACGTTACAAAGACAGTATTGTGCAAATATTGATATATGATTACTGTAAGTAATGAAACTATTAAAATATATCGGTGCCACAGTAGCATGGTAATCGAACAACAAGATCAAGGTATACCGAATTAAGATTATTAAGCCACTGACAGCAAGACAATCAGTTGGGATAAATAAATTGGTGTACATATCATGGAGATTGAAATTTATAAAAGAAATCGATGGGTTTTTGTGTACAGAATTTCTCCCTAGCACGATAGAAGCCCATTTTCAACATCATGGAATGTTGGAGGTTGCAAATATTTAATAATACCGGGGCAGCTTGTGTTGTAATAGATATGAGATACTTCATTGACGTCCCCGGATTATGAATTATGAATTCTATTTGAATATGAATAATTTGACTAATAACAAGTACATCAAGTTGAAATTTGAAATGGTCAGTAAAAAAATTGAATTATTGGGCTAAAGTTTACATATAATGTTCCAAAGAATCATGCAGTGTTAAAATTACAACAATGTGGTGAAGAAAATGCCTCTAGGGATATATTGCTATTAATATCACGATCTGTTTGATATAATGTGGCCCCTTTCTGTCTTTTACGTGGAAATATCCTTTAAATTGTCTTATTCGATTTTGTAAATACATTATTTGTACTGTATTCAGTGAAAATATATAAATTCGGATAATACGAGTAATATCCAATTTATTGTTGTCGTTGTCGCAAAAAATAAACTTTGTGAAACTATAGATTGAAAAAAACCACATTGAATTGTTCCTTTGTAACAAAAAATTGCTTGTTTAGGCTCAGAATTATGTTAATGAAAAATAAATTACTAACGTTTGTATGTGTAACGCGTGTCGGTCGTCTAAATACTGTTTTTATTTTAACATGTGAAAAGAATATGTATTAATTACGAAAATTATAGCAGAGTTAGATCCTAAAGAGCACGTTTTAGCGTAACATGTAAGTTTTATTAAATTTTTAATTTTAATTTTGAAATACATAGCTTATTATCCTATTAAGCAAAATGTAACACGTCTGTTTCTAATGACAATTTTGACTAGGTTAAAACTTTTGTCACGTCATGCTTTGAAGCAACTTGAAAAGGAGGATAATTCTCTTTTTATTTGAAAGCTGATGCTTTTCACGTGGTCCCATATTAATTTGATCTAGGTCCGACCAGTAGTTTTTGAGTTATCCTCAATAATTTATATTGAAGTCGGTTGTACAAAATTTTTAATTTTACCGCTCGTTTGACTCCAAAAACGCTAATCAAATTTGTTAAAATGTTTTTAAAGGAGTAACTTTAACGTAGGTAACCCCATCTTAAATGATAACGTTATTTGGATAACATCAATAAGTGCAATAATGGGGGCAAATAGTACAGGACGTGTGATTAGATACAATAAATGAGAAATTGGCTTAATTAATTGTTTGTACGGAATTGAAGTCAGAGTAATACTTTAATTAGAAATGATAATTTTATCATTTGTCTAAACATGCTGTTTATGTACAAAGAAGTTTAAAAATGATTTTAATATCGTGTATTGTTTTGGGCACCAAATACACTTAGTGGGAACACAGCCTTGTAATGTTTTCATAATAAACAAATAAATAAACTAACTATTATACAAAAAAAAAAAATAACTAAAGGTAATGGAATTATTAAAAGGAAGGTAAAAGTTGTTTCTAGAAAAACTGTGGATTTAACTTTGTAATACTCAAGGAATGGCTTAATATTCAATTACTTGATGTATATAAGTTAAAATTATGAAGTTGTAAAACGGTCTGTCAATAACGTTTCTAGGTATCTAGGTACTTGTTTTTTTTTTAAGCTGGTAGACGCCTGGAGACTTTGTTCTTTAAAAGTTTGTAAATTGGTACAAAAAGCTTGTTAATGTATGTAAGAAAGAGATAAATTTTATAATTGAGAGAAGTGTAATACAAAATACTACAGGAGGGCGATGTAGAGATGCGCAGTTTTTGGTCTACATAATATTTAACAATGCTGTCGGTGATTTGCTAGTTGGTGACGTAAGCTATCACGACATTCGTAAAACTGATGTTGTATGTAAAGACTTAACAAATAAAATACTAAAGATTTGTCTGTTAATTTAAGATATGTAATTTAATTATTCGTCGGTTTGTGAATTTGAAATATTTATATCGTTATGTGTATTATTGTTTATTATAATAACCCTCTCAAAAATGAGAGGAGGCCTGTGCCCAGCAATGGGGCTTATATAGGCTATTACTTTTCTTTAAAATATGTAATATGATGTTGTTATTTGTAGATGAAAATATTCTTCTGATTTAGTCATTTTTTCTATTTGATTGTAATCACATATTTCTTCTTAGAGAAGAAACTATATTAGTTGTATTAATATGTGAAACATTAGTAATAAGCAATTTACCTGTGATTTTATTATAACATTATCTTGTGTGACAAGATTTAACGCAATTTTTATAGCAGTTGTGGAATGAATTGAGTTTAATGGAGATTTTTTTGCTTTTAACAAAAACTCAAGCGCATAATTTGAACTAATTTTATTTAATTTATAACTTTTATAAATTAAATAAATTTAGTTTTTAGGTTGATTTAGTTTGAATGTACACATTATAAATTATAAAAGGTTGGATAATAATTGACTTGAATGACTTGACTATGAATGATGAAATCTAATATTGTGCACGCTATGACGCTCCGTAGATCCGAAGTGTATTTTCATCTAAAGGAATAATTGTAAGTTGCGGTTGCCTTGATAAATTTCCGCAACTTTTGTAAAAAATTATCAGTGATATCAGTTATTCCAGTCTTCGGATAAAATGTAAAAGAAATAAAATATGTATTATAGGCGAGTTTCTTTCTTATTCCGATTTTCGACCAATCGGAATGTTTCGCCTAATGTAAGATTAAGCATTGTTTGGAAATTTTTGAATTTAAGAAGTCATAATGAACTATAATATAATTACGAAGAAATAAAAACATGTAGCATTCTATAAAATGTCTTACTTATAATTCATATTATATGTTTCAAATAAACACAGTGCAGAAAAAATTAAATGTCTTTAATTTATAAGTAGTTCTAACTTGTGGGTTATTCCTTATTGTATTTTCCTGTTTATGTCTGGCTGTTTCTACAAAATACTTTTATCGCGAGGTAATTTCTCCGCAGCGCCGTGCCGGCCGACTTATTCCACTTCGGACAAAGCGCGCTGGAACACATATAACGCTTTCTTTCATGACCTCAATTCTGCGCGAAGGCTATAATTTTATTTAATTGTAGTTTAATATTATTTATTTATTAAATTTAGCACTAACATACGCTTTACAAAATGTAATAAAATCATCTAATCTAGGAAAGAAACATGTAATTAAACTTCAGCTTGGTTTAGATTACAAGTGACTATGGCAAAGTAAATCTTAACAAGCGTAGATAACTAAAAACAATTCATTAATATGACAATTATAGGTGGACGAAACCAAACTAGAAAGAATGGTCTAGTTTCGACAGTGGATATATTAGAACTTAGAATTTAATTATTTAGTGGTGATTTAACGCGACGGTGAAAGAAAACATCGTGAGGACTGAGAATACCTGCTTATCTAAATGCACACTGCGTTTGCTTGTCTGAACAATTTGTGTTCAAATTGTTTCATAATCCTCTCAGATACGAAAGAAGTGTGCCCGAAGAAGTGTGTGAAAGCAGTAGGACGTATATCGATTGTAAGTTATAATTGAATAATTGTATGTAATAATTTTGTCGCGGTGGTTCAAAATTGGTCAGAGCATATTATCACCAACAACATTTATTAGATGATTTATTTTTATGCGAATGGATATCCGTACAATTATTGAATTTGATAACTCTAAAGGTCATGTTTGTTTGACAAGGGGAGGAGTTTACATACTAATGAAATTCTACGCCGGAGTTACATTTACATTGAAAATATCTAAATACGTGATCCGAATATTGTCTTTTTTGAAGCTGATTAATTAAATTGATTTAATAACTCAAGTAAACATACAACTTCTACGAATCAGTTCCGTATCTAGTTAGAGGTCATGTTTAACATTTCCTTCGGGTTTAGAGCTTATCAATTTGATACAGAAAACATATTTTACACTTCATAATATACATATTTAATGGAAAATTAAAGATTGTTAACGAATAACGATACATGATGGTAAATTTTATACAAATATTTAAAATAATATAACATCCATCTATTTACAATATCAAATGTAACAAAATAAACTATTTTAATTAACTAAAAATAAGTAGTAGGTACTAAAATTAATACAATAGAATTGTACACTTTCATTCATCAGGGTGTGGTGGTGTCGTCCTTTCATATTTATATTCTAAGGTTTCAGAAGGCAAAAGTGCGACCACAAACCGAACGTCCTTTTCAAACAAGCGCATCAAATCGTTTTTAAGTGCCTGTCTTGGATTTTTCGCGCTCATTTCCGTATTTTCCGTCACGTCCCAAGCTTCTTGACTAAACATTTCGCTTTCAAACGAACTATCTTTATTCTCTTCACTCAACAATCCATTAATTTCACCTTGAACTACACAAAGAAGAAAGGCTAACACAAACACTTCAAGTTGCACTCTCAGTTCCCTTCTCAAAATGTACATTTTGAATTAATACACGCGCAATTAGCGCAATGCGTCGTTTGCAATTACAATTTCATTTGCTTTTAATAACTATCTGTGAATAGATGCCTACACACTATATAATAATACAAAGATTTGTGCTTCGCCTTGTTATCACTCGCTCCATTCGTGCTAAGAAATATGAAATAAGCTGTCATATTATTATGACTGCGAGATAACGTTAACTCAGCTTGAGCTCTGAATTCTGCGCTATTCAGATTTACATTAACGAAAATAACATTGTAGAGGTGGAAAAAATATTGATACCTGTTAATTGCTTTTATTTAAATTTAAATAGAACTTGACCGTGGTAGGGCTACGCGTTCGCTGTAAAATAAACAGTACGCGAACAACTGGGGCTCGATCCCGGCCTGCTTCAATGAAATTTTTAATTGCAATTTTAACAACTTCCCTGTCCACAATATAGACACAATAGTTAAACAATCGAAATGTTCATGTATGAATAACGGGACAGTGAAATGGTTAAGTGTTGATTTATCATGTGCTCAGCTCGGTACATACACAACGATACATTTAGTTTTATTGCCGTTTAAATGTAGATTATTAACTTTAAACGTTAACGTTTGAAAGTTTATTAGGCGGGTCCGAGAGAGAGTTTCTCGGCCTGCGGACACGATAGCAAGAGGGGGGGTGGGGCTGCATAAGAAGCTGCCTCACGAATTAAATGGTTTGGGTGCGACTCTGAGGCTTTGAAGAAGTTCTCAGAGAGTTTTTTAAAAAATTGTTGAATTGTTGGGAGCTCTAAGTCCCGATGAAGGTCGGCATTACGGACGTACCAAGGTGCGTTCGCAGCTCGACGACAGAAGAGGTTCTGAACTATTTGGAGTTCATTTAAAATATTAGGGTTTGCGTGGGCAAAGACGGGGCCCGCGTAGGACATGACTGGTCGTATACAGACCTTGTAAAGGGTACGCTTGTTTCGAAGGGACATTTTACTGTGTCGGCCCAACATACTGTTGAGCCTACACAGATAAAAACGTGCGTGACGGGTTACTCTTTTGACGTGGGGCCTGAAAGTGAGCCCTGTGTCTAGAGTGAAACCTAAATATTTGGTGGACGTATGCCAGGGGACAGAGGTCCCTAGCATACGTATTGGTGGAGTGTTTTTGAGACGGCGTCGTTTATAATCGAAGTGAACGGCGGAGCTCTTCTCCGGGTTCACATCGATGCGCCATTTTTTGAACCAAGCTCCTAGGTCATCAACTGACTTTTGGATCTTGTTCCGTATGAAGGGTAGTGAGACACCTTTGCAGTAGATGGCAGTGTCGTCTGCGAAGAGGGAGAGTTGAACACCTTTCGACGGGATGGGAATGTCGTTGGTGAACAGGATGTACAGCAGAGTAGCAAGTACTGAGCCCTGAGGGACACCAGCCTTGATAGTTCGCTGTGAAGAAAGCGTGCCTTCGTGTCTAAAACGAAAGGTACGATGATTTAAATAGGAGGCCACGAGACGAACTAGACGATCGGGGAGACCTATTTTATAGAGCTTGTAGATGAGGCCTGTGTGCCAGACTCTATCGAAAGCTTTAGCTATATCGAAAAAGACCGCGATGGTCTTATGACGACGAGGATAGAAACCACTGAGGATATATTCCACAATGCGGTGAACTTGTTGGGGACATGAGTGTTTGGCTCGGAAACCGAATTGATGGGGAATGATAAGAGGGTCGCCGTCTGTGGGAAACAGATAGCGCCTCATACGCGTTTGGATGACTCTTTCGAAGAGCTTGCCCATTGCCTTGAGGAGGCTAATGGGGCGATGGCTGGAGGGGGAGGTTGAGAGGCTTGCCTGGCTTGGGAATTCCAATCACAGTAGCCTCTTTCCACGTAGTGGGGAAATAACTGAGGTTAAAGCAGGCGTTGAAGATAATAGATAAAATAAGGTTAACACCTGCTCAGGAAAGTGTTTTAGGCCTTGGTTGGAGATGCCATCCGCGCCCGGAGCCTTTTTGGGCTTAAGTCCTTTGATGAGGGATGAAATCTCATCATTGGACACAGAGATAGGTTCGGAGGCCGTAGGGGGGTGAGTTCCGGGGCGATCATCCTCCACTGCCTGGACGTGAGAGGGGTCGACGGGTTGAGAACTAGGAGAGCATTGAGCGGCAATGCTATCTGCAAAGCACTCAGCCTTTTCCTCGTCCTCGAAGGCAACCGTGCCGTCGGGACGGGAGAGAGGGGGAGTGTGGGTGATAGCGTCTATGCGGAGGGCTCTAGCCATCTGATAGTACGCTGTGTGAGAAGGAGATATTCTCCATGAGCTTACTCTTTTCGAGGTCTCGAAATTCAGAGAGGCGGAAGCGGAGTTCTCGTTGAAGACGATTGGCCGCGCGCCTATATTCGGGGGTGGGATATTTTGCTGTTCTCCGGAAAGCAGCTTTTTTGGCTTTTAATAGGTTGCTAATATGTAGGGGAAGCCCACTATTGTTAGCAACCGGGACGACCCTTTCGTTCTCCTTAAGGGAGGATTTAATAAGGGTGGAGAGTGAATCGACCGCGGTGTCGATTTTTTCGGGACTATCTAAGTCCGACGGTAGGGAGATGGTAGAGTCCTGTGAGTCCAAAGCTTTAGCTAGGGACTCCTTGAATCCCTTCCAGTTAGTGAAGGTTTTCGTGTGTGTTGGGGGAGGTGGCTGATGGCCAAGAATGAGGGAGACCGGTCGGTGATCTGATCCTAGATCGTCTAGTGTCTCGATTGCTCTGAAGTTGAGAGAAACTCCTTGGAGTAACGCAAAATCTAACACATCGGGGGGCGTGATCGGTGTTATCGGGAAAGTGAGTAACACCGAGAGGACTATGGACGGTAATATCAAGAGACTGCGTGATATCGAGCAGTATCTTGCCACTAGGGGACGTAGTGCGGCATGTCCATTCAGTATGCTTGGAGTTAAAATCTCCAAACATAATGACTGAATTGCCTAAGGATAAAATGGCCTCAAAATCCTTTTTGAGGGGATAGGTTCCTGAAGGGATGTAACAGGAGGCTATGAGGATGGACTGATGTCCAGTCATAGCTAGCCTGCATACCGTGGCTTCCATGTTGTTAAGCTGCGGAGTAGAAATGGGCGAGCAATGAAGTGTCTTCTTGTAATAGATGGCCGTTCCGCCGACTCGGCGGTCGGGTCTGTCGTTACGAAGAAGAGAGAAGTTTTTAATAGAAAGGCCTCTAGTGTCCTTAGCTTTGAGATTAGTTTCCTGTAGGAGGAGGAAATCGACTTCACGATTCCGAAGAAAGAGCTTGAGCTCTGGGAGGTTATTTCGCAAGCCGCGAACATTAAATGATACAAGTGATAAACGCTTAGGTTTGATACGACCGTGAGATCTTGGTAGGTTAATTCGCTCAGTCATTGAAGTTAAGTTAATTAAGTTAACCTAACTTACAATGCTAACAGAAGGTTATTGTGCTCCGCAAGAACGAGGAGACGTTCTTGGGGGAACTTGGCCGCGCGCAGTTTGCGTGATACTACTGTTATTTCCCTAACATCGATATTCCTAATAGCGGAGTGGTGATGTACCACTTTTACACAATTTATAGTTGCCGACACGAATCGTGAGCACAGATAAATTGTGGTGGGAGGTAGGTGCACTGACGGGCAAAATTATTGGGTAGCTTTATTATTTCAATTCGTAATTGAATATTTTCGACGACTTTTATGAAAATGTTTACTCAAACACATCAACTTTTACTTTGATACAGTAATGTTGCAGATATTCGTGTCCGTTATTTTATTATCTACTCTAAAGTATTTAATGTATTCCTGGTGGTTAGAATTGATTATTTTATTAAAAAGAAGGAAGGGGTGATATGCTTTCCATAAAATCTGGTGTTGCGGTGCGCCGTACAGTAGCTACTGAGACATTAGTCGCCTCAGCAGTACTTAATTTTTTCATGTAACTAAACACTGAATAGAATATTTGTCGGGATTGTCTATTTAACACGGAATTCTTCCTTCTCTGCATATTTAGACCAAAATCTGAACACTCAAATTATAACAACAAAAATAATTAAAAACAAGAAATAACAAAAACAATTAATAACAAGGAATACACAAACAACAATTAACAACGAGGTAACAAAAACAATTAACGAAAATAAACTAATTAAAAAAGTTATCACTGAAATTATTGCTCGCAAGTGTACGGAAGCCGAATGATACGTTCGAAACCAATAGAGGACCAGAATCGAATGATGAACCAATCACGGCAGCTTGTTCAACGTCGTATCGATCAATAAAAAGTGTGCTCACGACTTATGTCGGCAATTATACTGTCTTTTGATTAAAAAGTGGGATCTTGCAAACAGGATCCGTCTGATAGAAAAAAGTAAGTACGGTCAAGTAACAGCCTATATACGTCCCACTGTTGCGCACAGGTCTCCTCTCACTTTTGAGAGGGTTTTAGGGCAAGGAAGTGTTCTCCCTGCTCCTATGAAATCTAATAAATGTATCTCCATTGGATCCTACAAAAGTAATGTATCTGCCTACTATTAATAAAAACAGTAGTCTTAATATAGATTATAGTTTTCGTAATCTAAAGCAGAGGTTCCCAATTTTTTTTTCTCGAGGACCACTTTCAAAGTTTTACTATTTTCGGAAGACCCCCTCTGCTACATTTCTACTGTATTCCCAAAACTCCTAAAAACAAAACAACATAAACACTCACACCTGTCACCCAGAGGGGTAGGCAGAGACTACAGAGTTCCATTTAGCACGATCCTGAAATAGCTCTCTCACCTCTTCCACATCCATATAGATACGTATACATGCTCATCGGTTAAGGGTACTCTTAAATTGGCCCATTTTTAATATATCGCCAATTTGGTCGTCAAACTTTTGTTTGTCCTAAAAAATATCACCCCAAATTGGGGTGTTAAGAGCAAAAAAAAGGTGCGCACTTTCTTGTGTCCTATTTGTTAAAATAATACGTGTGGTTATACAAAATTATAAGCATGCATAAAACTTCTC